AGTATGCAGGAGGAGGAGAGAAAGGCACAAAAGAACAAAAAGCTACATTTACAATATACCTACAATCTATCATACAGCCACCAGCAGTGAACGTTTATTCAGCAGCGGTTGGATTAGACAGAATGTGCTATTGTATTTATTCTCAGACGACAGGAGCTAACACCAGAAATTACTGTTGCAAACAATCAGCTGCAACTTTATCAATAGGAGAAATGGTAGTGAACATTCAGCAACTGTGTTCCTTGGCTCCCCAGGGGTCGATCCTCTCGCCTCTCCTGTTTAATATGGTCATGTTGCCAAATGTCCAAATTTTCCAAAATAACATCTCCTACAATAATTATGATGACAATCAGATCTACATAGCACTGTCAGCTGATGAATACGGTCCAGTTGAATCACTAACCAAATGCATTGAAGAAATTAACAACTGGATGCACTGTAATTTCCTGCAACTCAATACCAATAAAACAGAACTTATTGTCTTGGGAACCAAATTGGAGAGACTTAAGTTGTTGCTCACCTTGAATTCCTTTCATTAACGACCACAAGTCAAGTAAAAACTCTCGTTATAATTACCCATTCAGAATTAAGTCTTAATACCACATCAAAACCATTACAAAATCACCTTAAAAATATATCAAAAATCAAGACTAATGTCCAACGAGGAACTCGAGAAACTCATACACGCATTCATCTTTGATAGACTAGATTATTGTAACAGTATTTTCACAGGACTCTTTAAAAGATCGATTGCAACAGCCTTTTCACCTGTTTAACCCAAAAATCTATTGATCGACTCCAGACTGTCCAGAACTCAGCTGCCTGGCTTTTAACCAGAACAAAGAAATATGACCACATTACTCCTATTTTAGCTTCATTACACTGGCTCCCAGTATGTTTTAGAATTGACTTTAAAATTCTATTGATCACTTTTAAAGCTCTTCATGGCCTCTCGCCTTGTTATATTTCTGACCTTTTAGTCCCATACGCACCAGCACGTACCTTGAGATCCTCGGGCAGAGGTCTGTTGTCTGTTCCAGAGTCTCGACTGAAAACTAAAGGGGACAGAGCGTTTGCTGTCAGGGCCCCGAGGCTCTGGAACAGCCTGCCCAAGGAAATCAGGTCGGCTGAGTCAGTGAACTCTTTTAAGTCCCTTCTTAAAACATACTTTTATAGGAGAGCTTTTCCCGATTTTATTTGACTTTATTTTATCCCTTTTATTTTATTGTATTTTACTAACTTTATATTTATCTTAAACATGAACATTGCGTGTTGTTAGCCATCCTCTGCGGTTGGCTTGGTCAGTATTTCATTTTGTTAGTGTGACAGCCCTGGTTAAGATGAAAGAAACCCAGATTAAAGACGTGACGTTGGACTGAGGTGATGATCAGATCAGAGGAAGGTTATCTTACCGTGCACGAGGATCACAAACACCACAAACATCTTCATCTTCCTGTAGAAACTCCAACAAGCACAAAGTTAATCTGCTTCTAACTAAAGGAAGTCTTCAGAAACACAGTGAGGACATCAGTTCACAGCCAGCTGTCCCTTTCCTCCCCCTGATAATCTGCTGAAAACTTTACTTTCGATTTGAACAGTTGCATAACATTTACAGAAACAGGTGGGGCAGGTAAGGGAAGGAGGAAGTCAGGTCATGTGTAGAGCAACAGTTACAGTATCTGGAAAGAAATGTTATTTTTTTTGTTTCATCTCAGTTCATGCATTTGAGAAATAGTGAAGAGAGACAATGGACCTCATGCAAGAATATTTTCCTTTTCTTCTTGCAAAACTCTAAACATAACAAAATGATATACATTTTACTAACCTGTTTGTGTTGGAGTGGGTGCTCTGTGCCTGAGAGGACCTCTGCGTGTCCTAAAGGTGTCTCTTTCTGATTGGCTGGATTCACAGGTAGAACCTGGGAGTGGCTGCTGCTGATTGGTCCATTCACAACATCCTGTCTTTTAAAATATCTGGGGCGAGTTTAGTGCAGACAAAACGTAGTAAAACGTTTTTTTCCCGAGGTGGTCCCCTGAACACCCTGTTGTGTACGCAAGCACACTGCATTTCCTGCCTTTTTAACGCCGTTGTGTTTACAAACTTGTTGCAGCACAGAAGACCTGAGACACACCCACCAAACGGGAGCAAATATACCTCGAAGCCCGTTGCAAGTAAACATGCCGTTCAATCTGAAAATATTGCAAACCGGTGCAAAACGTTTTGAGATTGAACTCGCCCCCGTTTTCCAGCCGTCTGACAGCAGCAAACCAAACCCTGTTTGTTTTGCGTTAGAGCTGTGAGGTTCGTCTCCTGATTGTGGTGTCTCACTGTGTTTAAAGTTTATTCTTTTCCATTTCAGTATCAGTAAATCTGTGAATGACCGTGTTGTCTCTTGAAGAAAGCTGTTGACAGGCATTCATCTGATTTACCTGGCTTGACATTGTCGCTCCTGCTGGAGCGAGTTCAGCGCCGACAAATAAGATTTTTTCCACGGAAACCGTGGTACCTTGAACCCATTGTATATACAAGCGCTCTTTATTTTCCTGCTTTTTTAAAACCCTTGTTTTAAACCGGAATTCAACCCAGTGGACGCTGTAGCGCTACTGCCGATGAGTGTTTGGGGGTGTAATAGCAGAATGACGGGGACACCGACGCACAGGTATAAATGCATGGCTACGTGCGTAGCCTACGGCGTAGTTGCATACGAGTTTATGCATCACTGGCGACAGCGACTGGAGTTTGTTTCCACCAGATGACTGTGTCTGATCTGTTTAAAGTGTAGTAATGAAGCAGGACAGAGCCGCTCTCTGGCCTTCAGGCAGGAGCCCTCAGATTCAAACAGGTTCTTTAACAGAAGCCAACAGAAAACCAAACAAGGCTAGCAGTTTCCCCCTGCTTCCAGTCTTTGTGCTAAGCTAAGCTAATCCTGGACCCACAGAACTGTAGAAGTCTGTTTAAAGAAGGACAGGAGGACAGGGACAGACTGAAACCTTTATTATCACAACAAAATGGACATTAACGTGTTTAGTGTGTGGAGTATTTGGGCAGCTGGTTTCCCAGTATGACTCGTCTCTCCACTCCCTCCTCTGAGATGCTCGCCAGTCTGACCACGCCGCCGCTGGAGCCGTCTCTCTCCATCGCCAGAGACAGAGCTGAGAGACAAGACAGGAGAGAGACAGAGAGTCAGTCAGAGCCAGTAGTCCTGCAGTGGACCGCAGCTCCCAGCATGCCTTGCAGCAGCAGCAGTGTGTACCTGCAGCAGTGAGCTCCAGACACTGGTCTTTGCTCAGTCCCGGTTTGTAGTTGGAGTCCATGAAGCCGTAGATGTAGGTGCTGCCGCTGCCGCCCACCGACACCGGCTGCCTCACCAACATCCCACCAATAGGCACGCAGTACACCTGAGACACAGACGGGTGAGCAGAGAGACAGTCAGTGTGTGAAAATGTCCAGATTTGAGTTCAGCAGAGCTTCACAGGTTGCCACTGGAGTCCTCTTCCACTCCTCCATGACGACATCACGGAGCTGGTGGATGTTGGAGACCTTGGGCTCCTCCGCCTTCTGTTTGAGGACGTCCCACAGATGCTCAATAGGCTTTAGGTCTGGAGACATGCTAGAAGTCTGGCAAGATGTCGTCATGGAGGAGTGGAAGAGGACTGTGCGATGTGTTATTTTCAGGTGTGTTTATTAGGGATCGAAGTTTTTTCCGGACTGATACAGATTATTAGTGACCAATTAGACCGATATGTGGAACCGATATCCTTTTGCTGTAAAAATTTTAATGTTGGTCTCAAAATTTAGAATAACAAACTCCAACACAAAGTCTGTTAAAAACAACAATATTAAAGTTAATTGTCATGTTTATAAATTAAAATTAAAAACGGCTTAGAGATCCATCCCAGAGATGGACTTAACTATAAGTGATAAATTATCATAATCTTTGTCTTTAAAAGCTGCCATTTATATTGTATTTATTTTATATTGTTAGGATTTTATTGATATATTTATTGATACTATATTCTTTCTGTTCTTTATCCGTCCTTTTATTGGTTTTTCATTACCAATTCATTTCATTACTTAAAAATGTTATTTAAAAAAGATATACAGGTGCTGGTCATATAATTAGAATATCATCAAAAAGTTGATTTATTTCAGTAATTCCATTCAAAAAGTGAAACTTGTATAATGTATACATTCATTCCACACAGACTGATATATTTCAAGTGTTCATTCCTTTTAATTTTGATGATTATAACTGACAACTAATGAAAACCCCAAAATCAGTATCTCAGAAAATTAGAATATTGTGAAAAGGTTCAATATTGAAGACACCTGGTGCCACACTCTAATCAGCTAATTAACTCAAAACACCTGCAAAGGCCTTTAAATGGTCTCTCAGTCTAGTTCTGTAGGCTACACAATCATGGGGAAGATGCTGACTTGACAGCTGTCCAAAAGACGACCACTGACACCTTGCACAAGGAGGGCAAGACACAAAAGGTCGTTGCTAAAGAGGCTGGCTGTTCACAGAGCTCTGTGTCCAAGCACATTAATAGAGAGGCGAAGATAATGAACAACATCTAGCTTCAACAGAAGGTAGAAACGAAGAGTACAAAGTAATGATTAAAATGACTCAGGAGGGAGCCTCATTCGGCGAGTGGAACCCGCTTCATTTAACAAAAGCTATAAACAAGTTGGTTGGCAATGTGAAAAGTGCGCGAGTAATGAGAAATGGAGCACTGATCAGCAAGGGAAGGCTGTTCGGCTTAACAAAATTGAAGGTAAGCGAGTGCAAGGATCATTGATCACCTATAATACAAAGAAGGTTCGAGGAGTCATTTCGGGAATACCCACAAATATGTCAGTAGAACAAGTCAAGGAAAATGTGGAAGGAGCACGTGTAGCCGAGGCAAAACGCTTGAAAACAACACGTAATGGTGAAAGATGTGACAGCTTGTCTGTGTAACGGGTTTGGTCGGGTGTGTGAAGGATGACTCTTGAGATCACTTCTTTTCCACGATTTATTGGCTCGCACATCTGCAGAACACAATGCACACATCAATTGCCCCCTGGCCTCCTCTTACATTACCTCTGCTTCCCTCAGCGGTGCAAGACGCAACTGAGCGCTTCATGTATTCAAAATACATTACAAACACATCACTCCAACATCACATGAGTTACTCTGCTCATAGTGTTCATAGAAAGCCATTAACACTGTTCAGAAAATACTAAATATTAAATGCAACAATTACATAAAAACAGCACATAGGTCTCCCCAAAACAACATCGCCTAACAGCGACACCTGGTGGTCTGAATAAAAAGTGTGTGTGGGAGGTGACAGAGACAACAAAAGTTACACCAACAAACAGAAGGAAAACACATACCTGCAGAACACAATGCACACATCAATTTCCCCCTGGCCTCCTCTTACATTACCTCTGCTTCCTAAACATACAAATACAGCGTTTACAAGACGCTGAAAACTCCGACAAGCTACATAGGTAACATGACGCGCCCGCCTGCCTGGTAAAACTGGCGCCAGAAAGTTAAAATGAAAACACTGATAAAACGTATTTTAACGGTCACACTGATACAAAACTGCTACGTGACATAACCATATTGAAATTGCACAATTTGTGTTTAAAGTTTTAACGTAAATGGTTCAATTTCCAAAGAAAACAATAGATAAACCCAGCAGCACTTTTCTACACAACTTAGCCTCAGCGGTGCAAGACGCGACTGAGGGAGACGAGCACTACGGAAGCTTAGGAGGTACAAAAGGGGTAGTGTGCAGCTAAGGAATGACGGAGTTTACATTTCCACAAGAAAAAATAGCAAAAATAACTCAATGAGATAAATTTGGAAATAAGAATTATTAAAGTGCATTTTTAACTCCGTTACATCTGTTATGATTGTTTTTGATGAGGAAAGTCTACCATCTAAGGTATATATAGGTTATATGTGCTACGATGTCAAACGTTATGTTCCCCCACCTCTGAGGTGCTTTAAGTGTCAAAAATATGGACACGTAGCAGCTGTATGTAAGGGCAAACAAAGGTGTGGAAGATGCAGTGGTGAACATGAGTACGGGAAATGCGTAAATGGAGCTAAGCTAAAATGCTGTAACTGTGGAGGAGAACACAACTCGGCCTACAGGGGATGCGAGGCTAGTAAGAGAGCTGTAGAAATACAGAGAATTAAAACATCAGAAGGGATAACATACGCTGAAGCAACCAAGAGAGTAGGTTGGCAACCAGACAGACCAAACAATAAACAAGCTAGTGTAGAATGTAAAAAGTCAAGAACACGTGAGGGATGTGACAAAATCAAGGAAGACACTATGATTGCGGGGAAAAATGAGTTTGTTTTGCTTATGGTTGAAGTGGTAAATTGCTCTGTGCAAACAGAGAAGAAAACGGAAAAATCAAATAATAGTTAAAGCAGCAGAAAGTACTTGGGAATCAAGGGGTTAGTGTGGGAGGAGGTTGAGGAACAATTAAGTGGAGGAACAACAAGCTCACAAGCACTGTCATGGGGTGGTGGATCTTCATGATCCTAACCATACTGCAATGGAATGCAAGAAGTCTAATTGCTAATGGACAAGAATTTAAGCATTTTATCTCAAACCTCCAAGATAAACCCAATATTATATGCATACAGGAAACATGGCTAAAACCACAATGGGACTTTGTAATTCAGGGTTACACAGCAATTAGGAATGATAGGGTGAATGGAAAAGGTGGTGGGGTAGTTTGTGCTAAATGGGACAAGGTTTAGTTTGATGACTGTAGGAAAAGAGCATGAAGCAATAGTAGTCAAAAGCTGGACAATAATTAATTATTATAACCCTTGCAATAGATTAAATATAGACACATTGAATACTGTGGGTGGGCAAACACGGGATAAAGTGGTCTGGTGCGGTGATTTTAATGCACATAGTTCACTGTGGGGAAGTAAAAAGACAGATACTAATGGATTATCATAGAGGAATCAATTGTGGATAAGGGATTAGTTTGCATGAATGATGGAAGTGGCACCAGATATAACAGTGTTTAAAATACAGAAAGTGCAATTGATTTAACATTAGTATATCAGGGGTAGCAGGCATTACCACATGGGAGGTGTTAAATACATCATCAGGAGGTAGTGATCACTACCCTATAATAGTTAAGATCGGAGTAGAGATACATCATGAGGAAAACTCAAGAATAAAAAGGTGGAAACTAGATGGGCGGATTGGGACACATTTCAAAAATTATGTAAAAATAAGTGTGAGAGTTTAATCAGAGAAGATTTATCAGATGGGGACCAATGTAATAAAAAGTTGGTGGGAGTCATTATAAAGGCAGCAGAGGAAACGATACAAGAAGTACAGGGAGCAGAGTGAAAAAGAACGGACCATGGTGGGATGTAAATTGTAGCAAAGCTATTAAAAGAAGAAACAAGGCATTTAGGCAGTTAAAAAACATCATTCACTAGAGACATTAATTAATTACAAAAGATCACAGGCCATAGTCCGGAAGACTATAAGAGCAAAAATACGTGCATACTGGAGGGATTACTGCAATAAGACTGGAAGAGAGACATCACTGGCTGATATATGGGGAATGGCTAGAAAAATGAGTGGAATCAGAAGGAGTTATATAATACCAGTCTTAATAAGTGGCAATAAAACGGCAATCAGTAATGTGGAGAAGGTAGAAATGTTGGCAGAAACATTAGTTAAAGTACACAGTTCAGAGAATTTATTAGTCGAAGCCAGAAAGTGCAGAGATAACATTCTTGCCATGAACCCAGGTGTCAATATACAGAAGAGCACAACAACTGATGATTTAGATTACCATTTAGCTTATTTGAGTTAAGGAGGGCTATCTCAAAGACAAGACTTCATCTCCAGGGAAGGACAACATCTGTTATAGCATGTTAGCTCACTTGGAAGATAGTGCACTTACTGTAGTTTTAAGATTATTTAACCAGATTTGGGAAACAGGCAAAATACCAATAGCATGGAAACAATCAATCATAGTACCAATAGTAAAACCTGGGAAAGATCCATCAGACCCATCAAGTTATAGACCAATAGCACTCACATCAAATTTGGGGAAAACCATGGAACGTATGATAACAGACAGATTAACATTCTTTCTAGAAAGCAGAGATCTGTACTCACCATACCAAAGTGGGTTTTGGAAAGGGAGAAATATAATGGACTCTATTTTATGTTTGGAATCTGAAATCAAAAAAGCTCAGACAAATGGGGAGATTGTGGTAGCTGTCTTTTTTGATATTGAAAAAGCATACGATATGTTATGGAAGGAAGGGTTACTTATCAAATTAAATAAATTAGGTATAGGTGGTAGACTGTACAACTGGGTGTTGGACTTTTTATTTGGCAGGGCAATAGAGGTCAGGGTGGGCACAGAATATTCAAGACTCTATAAAGTTGAAAATGGTACTCCACAAGGCAGTGTGTGTAGTCCAGTACTATTTAACATCATGATCAATGATATTTTTGAAAAAGTGGAAAGAAGTATTGGGAAGTCCTTGTATGCAGACGATGGGGCCCTATGGGTAAGAGGACGGAATTTGAAATTTATTCAGAAAAAATTACAGGCAGCAATTGTGGAGGTGGAACAGTGGGCAAATAACTGGGGTGTTAAGGTGTCGGGTGCAAAGACACAAGTGATATGTTTTCCAGGAGACATAAAGAAGTGTCCTTAAAATTATATGATCAAACCCTTGAAGAAGTAAAAGTTATCAGACTGTTAGGAGTGTTGTTTGATGAAAAGTTGACCTGGAAACAGCACACTGATAAGGTCAAAGACAAATGCAAAAAAATCAATAACCTTTTAAGATGTCTGTCAGGAAGGGACTGGTGGGCCACTACAACATCATTGCTTAAAATATACCAGACCTTGATGAGATCTACACTAGATTATGGATGTATAGCAAATATGTCAGCAGCAGAATGCCATCTTAAAAAACTAGATGTGGAACAGGCACAAGTGTAAAGGACATGCAGTAGAGCATTTAAGACCTCTCCAGTGGCTGCCATGCAAGTGGAAATGGGGGAACAGCCACTAAGAATAAGAAGAACAAGAATTATGCTAACATACTGGGCTAATCTTCAGGGACACTGTAGCTCTCACCCCGCGCTAAAGCCGACCTAGAAGAATGTTGGGAACACAATAAGAGCAGCTGTTTCAGTTTTCGATGGGTGAAAGCAGAAAGCCTTGCTTGTGCAGTATAAAATATATCCCAATAGTCCCATATCCAGATCTTTCTCCGTGGTTTTTTGTAAATCCATCCATTGACCTGCATATACAGCAAATAATCAAAAAGAAATCCAAGCAAGCACACACGGGAAGAAGAGCAGAAAGTTACATAGAGCAGCACTATAGAGATAACCGCATGGTCTTTACTGATGACTCTAAAGATCCAGAGACCGGACGGACAGGAGCTGCCATATACATCCCAGCATACAAAATAGGCATTAAAAAGAGAATCATCTATCAGTATATACAGTTGAGCTTATGGCCATTTTGATGGCATTACAGTGGCTAGAAGAAAATAAGGAAAGCAAGGTGGTCATTGCATCAGATCGCTGGGCAGCGCTCACCAGTATTAAATCGGTTAAGTCCTGTAGGCTGGATCTGGTATTTAGTATTCATAGCTCTCTATGTAGATTATAACATAAGGACTGGACTGTCTGCTTTGTTTGGGTTCCTGCCCATGTAGGGGTAGAAGGAAATGAAGACGCTGATATTCTGGCAAAACAAGCACTTAAATCAAAGTCAGTTGATATACAAGTTCCGCTAAGTAAATCTGAAGCTAAAACATCATTAAAGAGAAAATGCAAAAAATATGGCAAGAATACTGGGAACTAAATGAAACTGGAAGACATCTTTACAGTATACAGAATCATGTTGGTCTGGGAAGAAAACTGGGTGGTTGCCGGAAGACAGAGACCGTCATTAGAATAGGACACACAGGGTTTAACCATTCACTTTATAAAATAGGTAAACACCCAACTGGGCACTGTGTAAAATGTAGTAGTGTAGAGAGCATTCAACATGTGCTGGTTGAGTGTAGAGGCGAGGAGGAAAATAGCAGCAGTTATAGAGAAAGCTGAGCTTAGGTTCACTGTCGAGAACCTCCTTGGGGATAAAGCATGGGGAATATCAAAGCATATTTGTTTATTTGGTTTTTATGTTAGTCTGCACATAATCTGTTCCACACTCCAGTCCGGTAGGTGGCTGTAATGCTCCTAAATGCTGGCTGCCAACCTGCCACAAAACAAGAAGAAGAAGCAGAAGCAGAGCGCTGATCGGGGAGAGACGAGGGAGGAAAGTGTTTTTGCTTTGCAGACCAACTAAAGTCAGAAGTCTTTAATTACTGTCGGCAGGGCTCTCAAGTCTCGCGCATTTCAGCCAGTTCACGCGCTCACACCTTGTATTTCTCACGCTGAGAAGTAAGTTAAGAGATAACGTCCTCCAAGTTGTTCATTAATGGACGATCATTTCTGTGCCGAGTTCACAGCCTCATCTCTGTAGCTGCTAAATGCCAGAGCCGTTCAGCCCATCACAAATTAAAATGTGTCGTTTCCGGTAAACTCCGTCGTCCCGCCGCAGGCGCGTTCGTTACCAGGCAACATGGATGCGCGTGCACACACGCAGTGGAAGTCGGAAGCGCGAGACCCGATGGATGCGGTAACTGTAGGTTTTTGTTGTTTCCTGGAAAAATGACTCAGAGATAGTGAGAGCAGCTGATGTTGGGGAGGACAGACAAATGTGTTGTAAATTATTACTGATGCAGTCAGAAACTCTCCAACCTCTTTGCAACCTGCAGCTTTGGCTTTTTTATCCAGCGCCCAGCAAAGTAACTTTAAAAAATAAAAGGACCAATATTTCAGTGTAAAAATGCTCAGCAGGTGATCAGAAATGACGTCATAACAGGAAACCAGAATAATCCAGGAGATCATTTCCATGGATGGAAAGAATGAGATCAATAAGTTATTGATTTCCAGTATTGATCAAGAAGAAAGCTGAAAGAAACCAAATGTGTTGATCACTCAGAACAAAGAAATGCAGCTTTAATAGTTTGGATCAATGAAAGATTGATGCTCAGTTCTCTTCACATCATGTTGAAGCCGTTTGGAAAGAAAAGTGGGCTCAGAGTCGGCAGAAGAAAAGGCCAAATATTGATGAAGCAGGAAGAGCAGTTTGGGATCAGATCCAGATCAGATGTTTGTGTGTCTCGGTGTTCTGGACTGATGTGAACATGTGGAGCTGAGATTCATTTACAGAACAGAGATGAAAACATTTGAAAGCTTCTTCTCTTCAAAGTTCAGCTTTAGATCCAGAAATGTAAAAGTCCAGCAGCTCAACACTGACAGGAGACATTACTGTGAAGCAGCACATGGACAAAACAATCCCAGCAGCATCAAGACTCTGATCATCTCCAACAGCTTCCTGTGTTTCTGTCCCCTGTTAGCTGCTGCTCTCATCTGCTTCTGTCAATAAAGTTATTCAAACTGCTGCTGCTGTCTGTGCAGCTCATGTTCTGCTTTGTTGTCCTCTCAGTCTGTCAGGTGGAGGTGGAGGAGGGGGCGGAGTCTGTCCTGCTGCCCTTCAAGACCACAGAGAACCTGCCTCAGGACGCTGAGTGAGTGGATCCACTTGATCCCTATGAGAAGGTCCACGTGTATCTGACGGCTCTGACCAGCCTGACCAACAGGACCAGGTTTACAGAGACCGAACAGAGATGAAGGAAGACCTGCTGAGAACTGGAGACCTCAGTCTGACCCTGAAATCCCCCACAGTCAGAGACGGAGGACGATACAGGTGCAAAGTCTACAACATGAAGGGAGACCTCATGAGAGAGAAAAGAGTTGATCTCAGGGTCAAAGGTCAGTATGCAGACTGAGGTCAGAGTCTCTGTGTTTGTCTCTGTCTGACTGTCCTCTGTCTCCTCTGCAGAGAGAAGCAGCTCCACTGATCCAACTCCTCTGATGGCCGATCAATCTGTTTGATCTTTGATCATTGATCCGATCTGACTCTGGATCAGAGAGAAAATGGAGGTGAAGCAGCTGATGGAGGACGGATGAAGACAGGAGGACGCTTTGTCAGCTTCTTCTTCACTCTGACTCCTCCTACTGACTCTCACACACAGTCTACACACTCACTATTGATTCCTGCTGATCAGTGATGTCAGAGTGAGGTCAGCGTGATGTCACATGGCTTGAACGGGCGTGTTTCCTGTGAACCTCCCAGCGGCTGGATAACAGCTGCGGCTCTCTGGATATTTGTGGCTCGTTCTAATGCGTGCAGTCAAACAAACTTTATTTCTACAGACACAGAGAAGTCAGCAGCTGCAGGAAATCAGAACCACTGACAGGAAGTTAAGAGTCAAGTTAAACCACATGTCAGAACTTTCTACAGCAGCAGGATTTAGAAGATGCTGGAAGCTGCTGTCTTTAGATTTTGGACCCGTCACAATTTGTCACATTTTCTGAAGCCACAACAAATCTTGTTGAAAGGAAACAGTTGATTGAAGGTCCAGTTTCAAACGAAGAGTCAAAGCTTCTCTTTGTGTCGACTCCTTTAATGAGAACATTGAAAAGGACTCGAGTCCAAGTCTCAAGTGTCCAGCTCAGATTATTCCAGCACCAACCCTGGCAGGATGCAAGTTAAACAGAAAGCAACACATTTAGTGACAGAACAGAAAGCAGCCAGCTGTTAAAATGGACTCAGAGAATGAAGACACAATAAGATTTGATTCAGTCAGACTTTCACAAGAACAAAGGTTTGTTCAGCCTGAACACAAATGTGGTCTGTAGTGTTTTTGTAGTCCCTGTTTATTCAGCGCCTCTTCCTCCTCACTACACACTGGATCAAAGCACAGCAGTTAAACCCAGAGGCCTCCAGTGGACCTGGTTCAGGCCTCTGAAACATCTGGACTCTGTGATCTTTGTCTTCCAGCGTTGACATTTGGAGCAGGTATAAACAGACGTCACGTGATCTAGTTTGTTTGAAGCGTACCGAGTCCTTCAGACGTTGATCTCAGAACTCAGCAGAAACTCCACTTCTTTAGTCTCTTTCCTCCAGGTTCTGGTTTTTCTCGTCTCTCTGTTCATTCCTCAAAGATAAAGCTGGATTTTTCATTGAAGCTGAAACATTTCAGTAAATATGCCAGATTTAGCCAGAAGGCTGTTTTTCATCTGTAGTCAGTACAAGTCAACACAAAACAGACAACATAGTAAAACCAACCCAGGACCAGTAGACTCCAGCACAATATACTAGCAGTCATTATGTTCCAGTACACAGGTCATGAACTGTTACCAGAGGAAATCAGAAGCTTACAGTAATCTGTTGGACTCAAAGATGTTATGTTATTAAAGTGCTGTTTATGCACTCAGATCTAATTCAATAATCTGGTTTCCTGCAGCGGTTTGAAGCCAAAATAAACATTTTGCTGTGATTTCATTTCAATAAACTGATCAAAATGATGCTGATTTGTTGAACATATGAATTCCTGCTCTGTCAGGTCTGTCTTCAAGATGACAAGCAAACATCTTTTAAAACGCTTGTTTTCTAAATGGAGTTCTGCTCAGTCAGGGCGATGCTATGCTAACTTGTTTCAAGTACGACGACGGCTGGAATCATCTATCAGACACAGATTCATTTTCAGACCTCACCAGGTAGTTCAGCTTCCCGCCTCTCTTTTCTCCCAGCATCCTCCTGTCTCGTCTGTAGAAATATGAACTAGTGGTCCACGCGGTCCTTGTGGTCCGGACCGGTTGCCGAGGGGTCCGTTGCTGGTCCAAAGCCACTGCACACCTCCTCTGTATAATAAAAGCTTTATTTGTAGAGCACTTTTCAACACGGGGAACAAAGAGCTTTAAAACAATCCATCTGTCAATAAAGGAAAATAAATGAGGCGTCACACAGTGAAAGCTTTTTGTAGAAATGTGTCTAAGAAGTGAGATGAAACCAGGAGCAGACTCTGAGCCTGTAGGGGCCCTGACAGCAGAGACCCTGTCCCCTTTGGCTTTGAGCCTAGACTTTGGAGCAGTTAGCAGAGCCCTACTAGAGGATCTCAGTCTGCGTCCTGGCTCATATGGGGATAAAAGCTCAGAGAAGGTGCGTGCCCATGTCTGGCCTTAAAAGTGATCAGAAGGATTTTAAAGTGCGTCCTAAAGAAACAGGAAGCAGGACGCTCACACTGGGCTGATGTGCTCACATTTTCTGCAGCGAGCGGCAGCATTTTGGACCAACTGTAGGTGATGAACTGATTTCTGACTCAGACAGGTATATAGGGAGGATATCGGTCTGCGGCTGAAATGAAAGACTTCACCTCGGCCGCATTTCTCAAATGATAAAAACAGAACAAGCTTAATGAGGTTCAAAACACAAGTCCTAGTTTCTGGCCGAGCTTCTTGTTCGCTTGGGTTTGTCCTGATTTCAGAAAGGAACGAACATCACAGAGGAAGACGCAGAGATGTTGATCCTCACAGGTACGTGAATCTAAACTATAACGTGGTTCATGCTGAACTTGAGCGCTCACTCTTTCTACACATCCTGGCAGAGAACGCTGGTGAGCTCCCAGCATCCTCTCCTGTACCTGCTGAACGTGAGCGT